GAATGTTTCTATGCATGAAAAAATTACAGAAATACTTCCAGATATGCTACACATCTTTAGCATAAGAATACAGTAATAATAATAATGATGATGTTTTGACGTACATAGCAAGGTAGCATCCATTTGTTATTATGAACCATTGCATGTATCTCAAATTTTAAAAATACAATAAATAGGCTTTAAGAGGTTGGTTTGAAACTATGGGTAGTATATAAATTGGATGTTTTTAGCCTGGGGGCTGCCTGTAATGAACGTGATCTCCTAAGAGAGTTAGAGCCACTGATTTGATGCATTTTTCCACTGATACTGAGCCCAATATTTTATATATATGCAAAGCCTTCATACAGTTGATGTGTTTGTGTATATAGTGTGAGAAAGGAATTCAATTTTTCTCCTTTTCATTTTTAAACAGATCATCTATTTGATATAAATGGAAAAGTCTATTCTGTCTCCATTGCTGTCATCTGTCAAATGTCTATGTATTTTTGAACTTCTGTCTACTGGTTTGTTTGTCTGTCTCTATACTAACACCATTGTCCTGTTAAAATCCCCTTCTGCATTCAAAAAGGATAATGATGTGATTGAATTTTTACTGCTGTATTCATGAGGAATGTTACTGTGTAATTTTCCTTTCTTTCCCTCTCCTTCCGAGTTTTGGTATCAATATTTTATTAACTTCCTGAAGTGGATCAGGAACTTTAGTAGATTATATCTTCATAAATATTTGATGAGTCTATTTGGGACAGGAATATAGTTTTCTGTCCTGCTGAATTCAGGTAATAGAACAGTATGACATACTTTGACCAATGAATGTGAGAAATGATGTACCATCACCAGGAAAAAATATGAGGAGCCAGAACATGGTTATTCTTGGTCATTTTTCATGCCTCTAAGAGCGTGTTTACGAATTGGGCTGTGAACCTCAAGGTCAGCCACCACTTGTTGTTGTTGTTGTTATGTGCCGTGGAGTTAGTTCCGACTCACAGCGTCCCTATACAGGGTTTCCGAGGCTGTGAATCTTTACGGGAGCAGAAAGCCTCATATTTCTCCCACGGAACAGCTGGTAGTTTCGAACTGCTGACCCTGAGGTTCACAGCCCAATTCGTAACCACTATGCTACCAGAGCTCCTTATATATGTTGTTGTTATGTGCCGTGGAGTCGGTTCCGACTCATAGCGACCCTGTACAGGGTTTCCGAGGGTGTAAATCTTTACGGGAGTAGAAAGCCTCATCTTTCTCCCGCGGAGCGGCTGGTAGTTTCGAACTGCTGACCTTGCGGTTCACAGCCCGAGTCGTAACCACTACGCTACCAGAGCTCCTTATATAACCAGCTATAAAAACACTGTGGTTTGAACTGCCTGATCTCCCCTCTGATTGTTAACACAGCATAACCTGGCTAACAAAGAAATTGGTTCCAGGAGTGGAGTGCTCCCACCATAACAGCAATGCATTCTAAATGATTTGGCACTGAGTCTTACAGCATGGAACTATCATTGGACACTTGGAAAAATGGCAATCCATGTTATGTAGTGAAGCAAATATTCTAAAACTGTAGTCTGCAGTAACTTGAAGGCCAGCTTATATGCCTAATGAGTTTGAATTTTAGGCTAAGAAATGATTTTTTAAAAATAATATTATTGGAATGAGTTTATCACTTCTGGCTACATTTACTAAGATGTTACAAAAAAAAATAGAAGAGCTCAGAAAATATTTGGCTTGTTTTCCAACAGAAAAGAAAATTAATTTAGAGAGCCCACCAAAATAGCAATGTGCGAGGTTGGAAGGTAAAGCTGACTGACATCGTCATTTGTGAAGAGAAGACAGAGAAGGGCTTTGAGTTACCAATGCTGCTTAAAACTTTGCCGAGTGGCAAGGGTCAAAACACCCCTACTAGGATTTCTGAATGGAAGAAGGCGGCATCCCAGCAGATACTTTGGGGCAGAAAAATAACTCAGGGAAAGGACATTTAGAGTGCAGATCTTCCTAAGTAAACCTGTTAGGCTCAAAATACCTACAGCCAAATTTAAAGAGAGAAAATGATCTTTAAATAGTCAAGTCCCGTAGAATTGCCTGTAAGTAAATAATCTGAAAGACATTTTCAGAATTATTTTGCCAAAAGCATCACTAACATGGACTAACACAGACTGTGATTGTGTGAAATGACCTAATGATCATTGGGCCCCAGCCTTCTGTAGCAGGGTTTCACAACTGCTAGAAAGCAGCTCTGCTGTCTCTCGTTCCTCTCCTTTACAAAGGGGGATTGTTACTGCAGCTATACTTCCCATGTTCCGTATACATATATAATGTTGCTATGAAGTGCCCTCAAGTTGGTTTCAAGTTGTAGTGACCTTATATATATAGGGTTTTGGAGGAGGAGCAGCTGGTGGGTATTAACTGCTCACCTCGAAGTTCAGACTGACCTTGTCGTCCATTGCCATACCAGGACTCTGGTAGCATAGTGGGTTATGAGTTGGGCTGCTAACCACAAGGTTGGCAGTTTGAATCTATCAGCTGCTCAACAGGAAAACAATGAGGCTTTCAGCTACTGTAAAGATTTATAGATCAGAAACCCATACAGGGTTTCTGAAGGGGGTGGAGGGGTGGTGTGTGTGTGTGTGTGTGTAGCTCTGGTAGCATAGTGGTTACGAATTGGGCTGCTAACCTCAAGGTTGGCAGTTCAAAACTACCAGCTATTCCTCGGGAGAAAGATGAGGCTTTCTGCTCCAGTAAAGATTTACAGCCTCAGAAACCCTGTACAGGATGGCTATGAGTCAGAACCGACTCCATGGTGCTTAACAACAACATATGTATATAAATAATGTTGTGTGTGTAGCATCAAGGGGCTTTTAGTTCTCACATCTTTGGTTCAAGAGGTATTGTTGCTGATGTTGTTAAGTGCTATTGAGTTGGTTCTGATTCACAGTGACCCTTTCTTTATAGGATTTCTAAGGCTTTAAATCTTCACAGGAGCAGAAAGCCTCATCTTTCTCCCTCGGAGCAGCTGGCAGATTCAAACCGTGGTCCTTGTAGTTCACAGCCCAGTGCTTACGGTACGGGGCCACTGTGTTCCCCAAGAAGAGCTATGTTGTTGTTGTTAAGTGCTGTTGAGTCAGTTCTGACTCATAGCGACCCTGTACAGGGTTTCCAAGGAGCAGTTGATGGGTTTAAACCTCCGACCTTGTGGTTCCTAGTCCAATGCTGATCCTGCAGTACCACACCAGGAGTCTCTGGACTTATATAGACTATTGTGAATCATTCATATCTTCTAGACTCTGAGCTCAGATATTTAGATGGAACTTTGGGGCTGCTTCCCTTAGGGATTAGGAGAGTGGGTTTTGCAGGTGGGAAAGCAAGGAAACTAACCCAAAAGGTGAACCACGATAGATCGTAACTCCTGTTTGTACCTTTCTGGATTTCCATTCCCTTGAGTGTGGCCTGGACATAGTTAGTGACTAGCTTCTCACTGATAAAATATGGTCAAAGTAATGGGTTGTTCCTTCTGAGGTTAAGTTACAAAGAGACTGGCGGCCCATTGTGCACTGTCCCTTACTGTCTCACTCGCTCCCTCCGATGGAAGCCAGCAGCTATGGTCTCCCACAGCAAGGAAAAGAGAGAGGTCTCCATGGATCCAACAGCCCATGTGGGACTGAATCCTGCCAACAAGCATGGCAGTGAGCTTCACAGCCTTTAGATAGCACTGTAGTTCTGACCAACACCTTGATTCTATCTTCTGAGAGACCCTGAGGCAGAGGTAGCACTCTCTGTTCACCAAGCTCTATCTGAACTTCTCACCCACAGAAACTTTGAAATAATAAATGTTTATTGTTTTATGCTATTAAATTGTAGGATAATTTGTTATGATAACTAATAAAACCAAGACCAAACCAATTGTTGAGTCCATTCCAATGCATGGTGACTCCATGTACTGCAGAGGAGAACTGCGCCATAGAGTTTTCAAGGCCGTCACCTTTTTAGGAGTCCCCGTGTGGCGCTGTGGGTTAATGCGCCAGACTGCAAAGTCATTTGAACTACAAGGTCGGTAGGTCAAGCTCACCAGCTGCTCCTTGGAAACCCTATACAGGGTCACTATGGGTCGGAATCTACTTGAAGGTACTTCACAACAACAACAACAACAAAACTTTTGGAAACAGATTACAAGGCCTTTCTTCCAAGACATCTCTGGGTGTGTACAAACCACCAACCTTTTGACTAGTCAAACACTTCAATGTGCCAGTCACATTCCCTAAGTACCTAATATAGCAGCCTAATGTCCCCCCACATCCTCCGGACTTGTTTTGCCAAAAGTTAGGCAGAATGGACTAAGAGTCTTCTTCGAGCATTTCAGATTCTTGCTTTCAGGGGAATGAATATGTCTGGAGAATGAACAATCAATCATTTTGGCTGATAAAAAATAACGTCAGTTCCTTAGTCATTAATAGTACTTCCTGAAATTTGTTTTTTTTGTCTTCTATTTTCCAAGTAAAATAAAAGCAACTCTTGTTTAGATTTAGACTTGGTGATAAGGGCAGAATCATTGCAATTATTTGGCACTCCTAGATGCCCCATATGTAAGAATATGTATTACCTTCCATGAAACTATGTATGTATGTGCCAGCAAGTTGATTCTGACTCATAATGATCCTATAGAATAGAATATAGCTGTCCCATACAGCTTCCAAGACTGTAATCGTTACAGGAAGACAGCTCCAGGTCTCCTCTCATGAAGTGGCTGGTGGGTTTGAACTGCCCACTTTTCAATTAGCAGTTAATCACTGTGCCCCCAGGCCTCCTTCAAGAAAAAAAATTAAATCTGAAAATGAATTGATGTAATTTTTATAAGTTTAAAAATGACCTTGATATAATTCCTGTGAGAACATTAATATGTTGGATGTTTCCAGGTGATTTTAAATATCGATTGAAATGAACCTGTAGTTCCTAAGACTGGAAGAAAACAATTTGCTGAGATGTCACTTGGGGTATCTCCCAGGAAAACCCTGGAAATGGAGAGCTTCCAGACACGATTTAGTGCCTGGACACCTTTTAGCAACATGTCTTTAAATAGACAGGTGAGTTTCACATACTAGAACAAGACATTTCATTTATATGCTTAATTGTACTATCTTATAGAGGACCTCATGTTCGCATATTTTAAAAAATTTCTGTAAAGGGCTTAATTTTTTAGTCTATTTCTTTTAAGCAAAAATAAACCTAGATTTATATGCCTCAAAGACAGTTACTTCTTACCCCAGCCCCCAAGTCCTACCTTACAGGAGGCTGGAGATCAATCTATCCTCAGGGTCAAAATGACGGCCTCCAGTACCCCCAATGGGTCTCTGTAATGGGGATGAGAGAGGAGAAGGGCGCTGTCAGTGGTGGCGGTTGGTGGGGACTATTAATGAATTCTTCTCAGTATGCTACTTTGAGCCTCTCATCCCTCTTGTGCCAACTGTATAGTTCCATGTAGTCTGTGGCTGGCCACTCTTTTGAAAGGCAATAAATGAAGACGTCATTGAATGATATAGGGCAGTTCTGCCAGGCCTTAGTGGAGAAGGCCAACTAGGTCATAAGAGCTCAGGTGGGGCCATTCACACAGAAGAAGCCTAGTCAGGGCTGGGGCTAAAGCCTGCCCTAAATGCAGTGAGTTTAATATGCTTATTAGAGCAAAGCTAGATTGAAATCCAGGTCTGAGTGGATGCTGGTCCTTAGTGTATGCTTTTCCTGAAACACACTAACAATGCCTACTTAGCAATATTTATGAACTTTCAGTTAGGTAAGTTCTATGAAACTCCAGGCTGTGGGTTAGTAAAATAATACCTACCTCAAATGGCCCTGTTTTCACAATGCATCTAACCTGTCTATGTTTTCAAGATTAAATGTATGGAATATGTTTTTCCCCCACGCTACATTAGGTAGAAACAAGAGCCAGGAATGATTACCTCTTTGTTTTCCAGAGAAGCCCATCTGTAATTACATCCCTTGCCAACCTTTCTCAGCAACCACCCAACTAGTTCAGGATAAGAGCAGTTTAAGCTGAAGTAAGACCCCCCAGTACATTTGTGAATGTGCTTAGTGAACTTAATGTGCTATGCAAATATTAGCTGTGAGATTGTTAGCAGATTGCCTCAGGATTGCTTAGCAACTAAGAATATATTACACTGTACAGCAAAATACCATGTTTTTGTTCTTGTAGCTCTTTCAGGAAAGAGTTGGCCTCATAAGTCACTGGTTTGACCTCTGGACTAATAAGCAACGCCAAGAATTCTTATTCACGATTTTGTTACGGTGCTCTAAGTCACAATTAAGGTAAAAATAGCCTAATGGTGTGATTATCATTGTTTCTTAAAGAAAATAAAATATAGCAAAAATGCTTATATAACCCTTAAAGACTGTTTTTTTCCTTAGGAAAAGAAATTAAGCAATTGATATTTTAATGTCTATAAACAGACTCTTCAAGTACCGGCCTTTCCTTCTTGAGGGTGAAATAGAGCCCTGGGGAGCTTCAATGTCTTCATGCCATAGAGGGACATTTTAGGGTTTACTAACAATTTTTCAGTGCTTCAATCAGTGAATTTTAAACTTTCTCTTATTATAATCAAGTCTCTTGGGAATCTTGACAGTAAATCCCAAAATGGGTCTCTGGCACATAGTAGGCATTCCATAAATATTTATTAAATGAAAGAACAATTCTGAAAATACATGAAAAGTGATGCCAGCAACAGCATTTAGGAATATGGGCAAGACTCCTATAATAGTAATCAGTGACGAGGATGGGTCTTTATTTCAGTCCTTCCCATTGCCTCTGTGACCATGCCTGTAATTTACTTTATAATACTCTAGCACTGTGTTCCACTTGAATGTGTTAGTTGAAATTATACCAAAGGGCAGCTGATCAGAAACTCTTACTCTAAGGAGGGTCATCTAGCACAACAGTGGAAAGCTCAAACTTGCTTCATTATGACAAGATGCTTTACGATTAGCATAGGAAATACCAGAAATTTGTTATTATCCTAGCAATTAAGGGCTTCTTAACAGTAGGCGAATATTAGAAATAGACTACTGTTAGTGAAATTAAAATGATATTCAAAATGTATGAATTAAGCAAAACATTCTAGAGAGTTCTCCAGCATGTCTAGAACTCGTAGAAGAACCCAGTCAAGTCTGTAGCAGGCGCTTGTAATGATTGATGGTGCCATAGGCTTCATCCCCGAGTAAGCAACCCTTGTGCTAGACTGGATAACTTCTGGTAGCCTGAGGCCAACAACAAAAGTACTATAATTCTGTTTTGGGATTATTCTCTCTTCTAAATCGAATGAAACTTTGACTCAAAGAGCTGGGAGCTGGGATTTCATTCAGATTGTGAGAGTGGTTTGAGCTTATTTATTTATATCTGTTAAGTGAAATGCTAGGTGTGGCAGAGTTGCTTTCATTATAACCTGGCGGTGAGTTTAGGGGAGAGGCTAAACTTCAAATTTCTTAAGTGGCTACCAAACAACATTTATGCATGGCCAAATTGATTTGTTTTAGTTTGCATTCCCTGCCACCCACTCTTTGTTACACTTATTTATGCCATCTCTTTTGGTCAGCCATTTATTCATTTCCCCTTACTCGCTTCTGTTGCCAGTTTACTGCTGTGGGTGCACAGTGGACTGTTAACTGAGCCTCCCTGAAGGAGTCACTGGAGGGAGACAGACACCTTCCTGCCTATATTCCAAAGGCCATGCAGACAGACCACAGAAAAACAGAGATTTAGGTGAATGCTTAAAAATAATGGGGGTGGGGAGTGGGGAGGTACCACACTTCATAGCAGACATTGGCTATATTTCTTTTTATTCAGACATTGCAGCTTTCAAGATAAGAGAGTAAGAAACCATATCTATGCACTAATTGTTTTGTGGTATACCATGTTAGTTTTATGTATCATGTACACAGTCATTTTAGTTAGAACCACTGGAGGTCATTAGAGATCTTGTGGTTTATTTTGAGGCAGATTGTATCCTTTCATCAGATTTATACATCTGACTGTAAATAAGGAAGACCATAGAATAATTTATGCATTTGAGTTACGGTGTTGGAGGAGAATATTGAAAGTGCCATGGGCTGCCAGAAGAACAAACAGATCTGTGTTGGAAGAAGTGCAGCTAGAGTGCTCCTTGGAGGCCAGGATGGCCAAACTTCATCTCTCATACTTTGGATATATTGTCAGAAGGGACCAGTTGCTGGAGAAGGATATCATGTTTGGTAAGGTGGAGGGACAGAGAAAAAGAGGAAGACCCCCAACAAAATGGATTGGCCAAGTGGCAGCATCGATGGACTCAAGTGTGGCAACAATAGTGAGGTTGGCCCAGGATCAGGCAGTGTTTCGTTCTGCTGTGCATAAGGTCACTGTAAGTCGGTACCAACTCAATGGCACCTGACAACAACATGTTGAGTGAATAATCTGCGAAGCAGAACTACTTGAAAAACAATGTGGCATCAGGACTGGAGGAAGACTCTTTAGCCTCCTGTGATATGTAGATGACACAACTTGTTTGCTGAAATCGAAGAGGATTTGAAGATCTGATGAAGATCAAAGACTGCAGTATGGATTCTACTTCAATGTGAAGAAAACAAAAATCCTCATAACTAGACCAATAAATAACATCATGATAAACAGAGAAAAGACAGAAGTTGTCAATGATTTCATTTTACTTAGATCCAAAATCAATACCCAAGGAAGCACAGTCAAGAAATCAATGTATTGCATTGGGAAAATCTAATGCAAAAGACCTCGGTAAAGTCTTCAAAAGCAAAGCTGTCACTTTGAGAGCTAAGGTTTGCCTAATCCAAGTCATGGTATGAGAAGGCTTCAAATGAAATTTGAATGGAATTTTAATTCTAATTCAAATTCTAATGGAATTTTCCTCAAACTTTTTGAAATCCCCTGATATTTTCAATTGCTTCATATGCTTGTGAAAGCTGGACAATGAATTAGGAAGGACAAAGAAGAACTTGAATTAGGATGCTGGCAAAGATTATGGACTGTATCATGGACTGCCACAGATGGAACAAGTCTGCCTTGGAAATAGTCTAGCTAGAATGTTCCTTAGAAAGAAGGATGGTGTGACTTTATCTCACATACTGTGGACATATTATCAGAAGGGACCAGTCCCCTAGAGAAGGACAACCTGCTGCTAAAGTCAGGGTCAATGAAAAAGTGGAAGATCTTGAATGAAATGTATTGACCCAGTAGTTGCAACAAAAGGCTGAGGACTGGGCAGTCTTTCATTCTGTTGGACATAGTATGGTCACTATGAGTAGAAGTCAATTTGATAGCATTTTGTAACAGCAAAAACAGATAACATTGTTGCTGTCTGATGCTGAGTTAATTCCACTCATAGTGGCCCTATGTTATTGTTGTTAGGTGCCATCGAGTCATTTCCGGCCCATAGCAACCCTGTATAGTGTTTCTGAGGAACAGCTGGTGAGTTTGAACTGCCAACCTTGTAGTTCAAACCGACTCTACAGTCTAGAGCATTATCCCACGACATCACACTGGGACTCCACAGTGACCCTATGTTGTTGTTGTCAAGTGCCATCGAGTCAATTCCAACACATAGCGACCCTGTATAGGGTTTCCAAGGAGTAGCTGGTGAGCTTGAACCGCCCCGACCTTGCAGTTCAAATGGCTTTGCAGTCTGGCACATTAATCCATAGCACCACACCAGGGCTCCTAGTGAGCCTATAGAGCTGAGTGAAACCATCCTAATAGGTTTCCTAGGCTGTGATCTTACTGGCAGGAGCCCTGGTGGCACAGTGGTGAAGCACTTAGCTGAGAGTCAAAGGTCTTTGATTGGACCCCACCAGCTGCCCTGAGGGAGAAAGAAGTGGCAGTCGGCTTCTGTAAACATTGCCCCCTTGGATCCCTCATGGCGCAGTTCTGCTCTGCCTACAGGGCTGCTATGGGTTGGAATGGACTTAATGACAATGGGTTGGTCCTTATGGGAGCAGATTGCCAGGTCTTTCTTCCATGGAACTGCTGATAGGTTTGAGCTGCAAATCTTTTGGTTAGCAGCTAAGTGCTTAACAATGTGCTACCAGAGTTCCTTATATTAATGTTGTTGTTGTCAAGTGCCATCCAGTCAGTTCTGACTCATAATGGCCCTGCATGGGTTTCCAAGGAGTGGCTGGGGAGCTTGAACCTCCGGCCTTGGTTCAAACCGACCTTGCAGTCCAACGCATTAACCCACAGCACCACACCAGGACTCCTAGACTAACATGATGCTTGACATTTTGTCATTGGAAACTACATCCTGGGTTCTTCTTTTTCTGGGACAAATTCTTGAATTACACTCTTCAGTGAAATTGCTTTGCTTTGTTTGGTAGCAGAAACATATGTATTTCATAGTCCCATGAAGCTGTTAGCTTATGTTTAAAACTATTGGTTTCAGAAACTACATGTGAATTTCTGGGCTCTAGATTTGGATGATCAACCAGTTTTTCATCTGTAGGTATGGTGGTGGCTGTTTAGCATCTGTTCATTTCTCAAAGCATGGTTTAAGTCTTTCTTATCTCTTTCATGACTGAATTCTTTCTACTTAGAATTTTTTTTTTTTTTTTTGTGGGCACCATGTGTTTTCAGTAATCGAAGCTTGCTGAAATCTAGGGGAAATTTGTGTGTGTGTGTGTGTGGTTATATCGATTTAGATACAATTACATGGGACACATATGTCCCAGTAGACTCTGATGGCAGGATTGGTAGGTGAGGTTTGTCTTCAGAATCATGTCATAATACAAGTCCCTATCAGGAACGTACCACAACTGGGATAGCAGCTTCCCCAAAAATCTGAGAAGCTGACAATGTTGGTGGGCAGTATATGTCTCACAAGGGTTAAACAGTTTCCTCCCCATCTCTCTTGGTCTTCCATTTCTTCTCCCCTATAGATGATCTACATATAAGGAGCTCTGGTAGCATGGTGGTTACAAATCAACACCAAGGTCAGCAGTTTGAAACTACCAGATGTTCCATGGGAGAATGATAAAGCTTTTTGCTCCCGTAAAGATTTACAGCCTTGGAAATCCCGTACAGGGTCGCTGTGAGTCGGAACCGACTCCATGGCACACAACAACAACATAGATGATCTACATATAGGAGGATGTCAGGAATCTAACCCAATTGTGCTCTGCTTAATTTTAGTTCAATCTGAAAGCCCAATTTATTATTTAAGTGTATACAATCACCGTGGAAACCCCGTACAGGGTCGCAGTCACCATGGCTGAAGGATAAGTACTGGACTACTAACCACAGGTTGGCAGTTCAAACCCAC